AACAATGATTTGAAAGCAAGCATCATTGTCTGACAAAAAAATGTGTAACACGCACTAAGACACGGTTTGGTTTGGTTTGGTTTGTTTTACGGAATATCAACTTTAATGGGTTATTTAATGCCAACCAGGTTTTTTTTTTATTGCTGGTAATATTTTTTTCCAAAAAGTATTGCTGGTAATAAGGTATTGTTGGTAATAATTTTTTCTTCAAAAATTTATTGCTGGTAATAAATTAAAAAAAAATGTTTTGCTGGTATTAAGACCTGTTTTTACACGTTTTGAACCCAGTTTGGGGGTTAACTATTTTCCCATAGCTGAGACGCTAACAGATGCTACCATCTCAGATCAGGGTGGACCTGGGATCACCAGCAATTAAGAGGTAGTTCCACGCTCTTCAAAACCTTCTGATCAGAGGCCTTTAAACTTCGCTGTTGGAGATGTTTGAAACAATTGCAACATATGCATTCCTCTTACCCAAATAAGGACAATGCCCAAAATTAAAAATGAAGTATCATTATGTTTGAAACAATTGAACATCTTCAATTGACCCCTTAAATAAGATGTTTCGAAAAGGGTGCATTGCAGAAAATGAAGTATCATTATGTTTGAAACAATTGCAACATATGCATTCCTTATTCATTGACCCCTTAAATAAGGCGATAATGCAGCTAGGTCGAAAAGGGTGCATTACAGAAAATGCCGTTTGAAACAATCGAACAATGCATTCCTTATTCATTGCAAATACAATGCAGCTAAAAAGGGTGAAACAGAAAATGAAAGAGAACGAGAAGACTTTATGAAAAGATGTGAGCAGAAAGACAATAAAGAAACGGGAGTAAAGAACACAGAAGATGGCGATTGACATGGCATAGACATTTTTGAAGTCTGTAGGTGACAGGGAAGTAAGAAACCGGAGGGGACTTTCACAGGCGAGAAGTGCGAGAAAATAAATTATTAAATAACCCATAGAGGTGTTGATATGCTGCTAAGCTAAATAACCGAAAAAACCAACAACGAAATACATTATCAACATCATTAAATTTAAATGTTTGCCTGCGATATGCAAGATCTTTTCATGTACTGGGTTCGATGCTGCATAGAACCACCCAGTAAATGGTTTGGTACACGCATCACCCTTGAAATTATTGAAATGCATTAACCAACACCTAGCTGCGCTCATATTCCTTGTTTGGTCTGCGTAAACCCTTAGCAAGTGTTGACGAATGTCAGTGAGTGCAATTTTTTACGTGTGAAGAAATTCAGCTACATAGCTCTGCTTCATGACTTTCATGTCAGATATCATTTTGCCAGATATAATGGTGTGCATATTCTCACAAGTAAATTACCGAAACAAACCTACCAAATATACGTTAGAATAGGACATATGGTTGCATCTAGTTCGTTCAACGGTAAACTGGTGAGAACCGATTGCCAATCGAGGCCCTAACGAGAAAAGCTCATAAGAAGAGTTGCTACTAAAATTATCTGTAAAAACGACAGAGGGAAGTCACGTCACTTCGGTGAGAAAGTGAGTGAAGTCGAGATGCCAAGTTAGGATCGATTACAGACATTTCCTTGCATGTTGTCAAGAATCTTGAGACATATAAAGAGTGTTCCAATCACTTCGACCGATTTTAAATGTGAATTAAGTTTAAGTGTCTAATGATTTTTCATTTTCTTTCACATTTAACAACTTAAATCTTTGGCAATTTCAACCATGGAAAGATTAACAATCAAACAAATTTAAGTGTCTGATAACTTTTTTTCTTTTTCTTTCAGATTTAACAACTTAAGTCTTTGGCAATTTCAACCACGGAAAGATTAACAATCAAACAATGTGTTAAAGTTATCGAAGCCTATTACGAAAATGGACGTTCAAACAGAGTTTGAGTGAGAAGTTCCCAGGTCGCATCATCCCTCGAAAGAGCAAAATCAACTGGTCACCACGATCCTGCGACTTGACGCCTTTAGATTTCTTCCTTTGGGGTCATCTCAAAAGTAATGTCTATGCCAACAAGCCAACAACAATTCAACAGCTGAAAGATGAGATAATAAGGCATATTGGTGAGAAAGAGGAGCAACTATACGGAGACATCATCAAACATTTTGACCATCGAGTGGAGGTGTGCTGCCGAAACCTTGGCGGACATTTGGGCGATATTATTTTTCACACATAATTACCATGACTTAAATAACATGATCCAATAGAGAAATAAATAAATTTTTGCCAATAACACTGATTTATTTACTGCTGACTTTGAGCCGTCTTAATGAAACACACTTTATTAGGAACACCAGGCCATATACAGCAGCAATATTTAATGCTTGGATGAATGGTATATTTATGAATGTATAAGAAGAATTCTGACCAGCAGAAATTGTCTAGCATGACAGAATGAACCAATTTTCTTAGCATTTGACCCAAAAATATAATCACTCCACTTTATGTCAATGGAAAACGTGAGCCCAAGAGGGTGCTTCTCTCCTGGTGTTTAGCATCAGACATGCTATTGATAGACAGAAAAGGTTTTCCGTTGTGATTAAATAAAAACAGGTTTGTTCTAAGGGCGTTAAAAATTTACAAGCCATTCCTTGCCCCAGTTAACCACAGACCAGATATCCTTTTCGATAGCAGTTGCCAGTTTTACTTTGTCGAATCTGTCGGACTTGCTATTAAGACAGGAGTAAATAGCTATGAAATCTGCATAAATGCCTAATTACAGTCAAATAAAATATATATCTGGGAATTATTTCTAGAGCTCCATTGTATTATGATTAGAAAAGAAGAATCCTGTTAAGATTGAAATTACATTCTGAAAAAAATCTCCTTGTGCCAGACTTCGTTTGGTCAAGGAACTGACGCATTAAACTTCCCATTCTTTTCCCGTCTGCCTCTGTCATTTCCTCTTTTACCTGTTCCCCTTCTCCACTTCATCTCTATCTTTTCCAAATCTGCCAACTTTTTTTCCCGTTCTTACTAGTCAGATTAAAACGGATGTAATCCGGTTGTGCGCATGAGCAGTTGGCTTCATAGATTGCCGTCATGGCTGCCGTAATGCGCAGCTCAAGCCCAAACCCTTTTTGCACGGAAACGTCAATCATACTTCCACATGATATACGTGCTGTTGATGACTAGTCAAGCATGATTTGTCGTACCTTACGCCTCATGGTTCAGTGGTCAGAAAACTCAAACCTATGCTTCTCTATCTAGCTCGCCTTTTTGAGAGACGATATGGTCGCGTATTTCCCTCCGTCGCACATAGTTGATGTTCAAGTCAACCTAAAATTTTTGAATGCAGTTGATTAAAATAGGTGACACTACTCAACAGAGCAACACAATCTTCCCATTACCTACGGCAGGCTGTATATTTGTGTACTAATTAAGTTTATTATTCTAACATGGTATACATATCTATCGTTCGATCTTAAAATGTTTAAATATTTTTACATATACTAACACGCATGCGCAGAGAGAAAGATGTCGAGTAAAAGCAATGATAGATTTTTAGTCCACAGAATTGATTTGTTAAATCATTAAGAGTTAAAGGATAGCAAGAAAATATCTATATATTACGATGGAAGCAAATGCATAAAAATAACATTTGTACCCATCAATATTAGCATACTTGAAATCCATGGAATAACTGAAGTCATCCCTAAAATCTGCTAAAATAGGTGAATGCTGGACACTTGAACAAAATCCAGTGAAAATCATCAGATACTCCGGATGTGTTAAAATTTTATGAATACATAAATAATAATAATAATAATAATAATAATAGTTGGTTGGAATAGGTTTTGATAGACTCATTGAAGGAATCTTTGATAGTCTATGCCTTAAAAAAATACAAAAAATATTCTCACAAGTAGAGCTCACAGCTTATGAATGGGCTTATCTATGTAAAATGTGTGTGACCTTAGGTTGGTTTATTTTTATATTTTTTTACGAAAAGTGGAAAATGTCATGATGCAATTTCTGACCTTAGGTCACTGGTTCGGACCGGAAATAAATGGGTATATAATAGAAATCAAAGGAAATAATAATAATAATAATAATAATAATAATAATAATAATAATAATAATGATAAAATGTGGCATACTGACGAACCGTACTTATTCCTTTTTCGAAACAAACAGCATTCTCCCGCTGGAACATTTATTCAATCAGGTATTGTATCAAATACATGTCAAAGAAGGTCAGATCAAGCTGTTTTTGCATACCCCACCACAGATTGTTTTTTCCTTTAGATTTAAATTAAATTTAAATTTGAACAAGGGAATGACTCCTAGGGTACTTGGAGAAGTATGTTTCATTTTGATCAAAGAGTTTCCCCTGGGGGTACAAATCCCCCACTGAATTTTTTTCTCGCTTTGATTTAAATTAAATTTAAATTTTAAATAAGGGAATGATTCGTATCCGAAATATAGAAGGAGAAAGCCAGAAGATGGAGGTCACTTCGGCAAGATCATTGAGTAATATTGAAATGCATCTTTTTCCTCCACAAATTATAACAATGATTTAAAATCAATCATTTTATTAACAAAAAAATGTGTGACACGCAGCAAGTCGCCGGTAATTCAACTAGAATTCGACTAGATGAAGTTTCTATTTTTAGTATAAAAATAAGCTAGGTAGGGAAAAAAAATTACTCCGGGAGTCTCCAATTTTGCATATCAGACGCAGGGCAATTTTTGATCCATTTTTTTTTTTTTTTTTTTTTTGGTGAGGGTGGAAATAAGTCCGCCATTTTTTAATCCTTTCACAGAAAGCAAGAAGATAATACAACAGGGACGTAGGGGTTTACAGGGAGTGAAAAAGAATGAGAATACTTTAGTGAGGAGAAGTGAGGAAAAGGCCAATAAATCAACAGGATTTAGGAAGACGTAAGATGGCGATTGACGTTGCAATTAAACTTTTGAAGATTTTAGATGGCAGAGAAGGTAGAAATCGAAAGACATGAAGTGCGAGAAAAGAAACTATTAGAATAGAACTGATAGCTTTCGGCCACATCACGTTGAAATACCAGTTCTCGGACGAATACTAAAGTTAAACAACGTCGAGCCAGGTCAGTAGCTTGATGGGTGACCGCTTGGAAATATCAAGTGCTGTAAGGTTGGATGTAATCAGAATTGTAAATCGGAGAGCCCAGTTCCAATTTCTATTGGATTCGTTATATTCATTTATAATAATAATAATAATAATAATAATAATAATAATAATTATTATTATTATTATTATTATTATTATTATTATTATTATAAGATTCTAAGTTAAATAAAATAATTGAGAACGAAATTCAGAAAAAAATTGCAAATAAACCGTTCCTTTATAATTTTTAGACGTCCAATACTACCTATGATTCATCGATTACTATTATGTAAATCGCTTTTTGCTCAATATCTGTAAATGTTCAGATTTTTATGTGATTACTATAACAGTGAAATATCTCTGGGAAGAAAAAGATTAGCAACAGAACGACGAAGAAGCCTATGTATGGACCAAGCTGAAGCAAGACGATCATTTAATAAACAACGGTATCTGAGTACCTCACATGAAAGTCTTGAACAAATAAGTCTGCAATCTTAGAAACGTAGGAGTAAAAGAACTGATTAAATAAATAATTTTACTCGGTATTTATTTTTGTATAAATGCATGTAAATATTTTTATTTTTATAGATTATTAAAACGACTAAGTGAAGTAATCACTCATAAATTTACTAACTTAAAGTGATTTATCTTTCTTCCAACTAAAGATGTGACAGGAAATATATGAATGAATACACATAGATAATTATTATTATTATCGCCCAGGCATATTGATCAAAGACCATAAAATCAAAATGAACTTTCTTATTGGCATGGCAGTTCCGATAGACTATAATATACGTTTGGAGATCTTAGAAAATACTATCAAAATACAAGAATCTTGAAATGGAAATCTAAAAAAATGTGGCACATAAAGATATCAATATTTTGAATTGTGGTTGTGGCCCCCGGTTTGATTGGAAAAGGTTCTGATAGACGCATTGAAGGGATTCCTGACAGCCAACGCCTTAATGAAATACAAAAAGAGGCTTTATCTATGTAATATATGCGTGCTTTTAAGTTATTTTATTTTGATTTTTATTTCGTAAGAAAATTGTTAGGTGGAAAATGTCATGGTCATTTCTGACCATAGTAAATAAGTATACAACAGAAATCAAAGGAAATAGTATTAATAATAATAATAATAATAATAATAATAGCGATGATAAGTTGATCTTTCGATTGCTAGAGATGAGGTGCTAATAATATTAATGGGATTGTTGTTGATATACTGATGAAAAGGACGTTAATCATTTTATTAATGAAATTTTCTGCTTTTATTAGTGACAGAAATAAATGAAGCAAGCCACAGGACGAGACTAGACGGGTGACGTAGAGAGGTGAAAAGAAAGTGTCAGCGATTTCATTGGCTGTTACTCCCCCTCCCTGTTGAAGGCGAATAAAGGGAGATAATTCTATGATGCAAGCTGATATTAATTAACGTGCATTGTACCGTATATCCTCCCGCGAAAAAAAAAAAAAATCTCTAAAGAAATACATTAGAAAAATATAAAAGTGAGAAAAAAAAGAAGAAAGCCTCCTTTGCAGAATTCAATTGTCATTCAGATTTTTGAATGAAACGCACACATATGTACACAGAGACACGGACTGAAATACGTATAAAGCTGTATATGCGTATACGCACGGAAAGAGACACTGGAAAAATACTGGCCTGATTGTTCTCTGTAGAGGTTGATTATTAGAGATGAAAGGTCAACAGTTTTTGTTTTTTATTACGGGGATGCTGTTTGATCATCGTCTGCAAAAGGGATTTGGCTAATAGATGGGTATCCTCGAATATGAGTGGTCAAACGCTTTTTGACAGTTTGGCAGACAATTTCATATAGTTGACGAGGAAACAGAAATATGGTTCTACTGGGAATACCATGGACTGAACACTTGAATAAAAGGGAATTCTTAAGGAAAATGGAAACAAAATGGACGCTTGTACTTAGAATCAGAAAGTGAAGGTTGGAAATTATAACGAGGAAAGAAGGCTTCGTGTTTTCGACACCCGTAGGACATTGAAAGGAAGTGGAATAGTAGAAAGCTCAGAGTAACCAACCTAATGTGCTTGTACAAATAGATAGCTGAACTGGGATTAAGAGAGATAGTGAAAAGAAAATCTTTATTAAAAGCTACAATGGATAGAAAGTTGTGGAGAGCCATGAACATCCATATTCTGAATGGAAATAGCGACGAAACAGATCGAAATGAGAAAACTAATTAATGAAAATGGCATCATCATATATATATATATATATATATATATATATATATATATATATATATATATATATATATATGAGGGAGCTGTTAATGATTTTTATTTATTTCTACAAAAACTACATCGCAACGAGGTTTATGGTCATATCACGTTGAAACACCAGTTCCAGTGCGATCATTGAAGTTAAGCAACGCCGAGACTGGTCAGAACCTAGATGAGGGATATACCAGCTGCTGTAAGCTTGGATGTGCGGGTGGGGTAATGGATAATGACTCTGAATTGTTAATCGGAGAGCCCAGTTCTAATTCCAGTTGCGTTCATTATATTCGCTTACGCGCAAATACTCTTGGGATACGTATGAATCCAACCTCTTCTCCCACAGCTAAGGGTTAATTAGTAAATTACCTAATAAATAAATAATTAAAATTGTGTACAAAATTATTAGATTGTGGTATTAAATAACCCATATAGGTGTTGATATGCTGCTAAACCAAACAACCAACAACGCAACACAATAATTTTTTTAAACATTGTCAACATCATTAAAATTAAATGTTTGCCTGCGATATGCAAAATCTTTTCATGTATTGGGTTCGATGCTGTATAAGGCCACGAAAGAAATGGTTTGGTACACACATCACCCTTGCAGTTATTGAAAAGCATTACCTAACACTTAACTGCACTCATATCCCGTTTGGTCTGCGTAAAACTTTGGCAAGTGTTGATGAATATCAATAAAAGTGCAATTTTTACGCGTGAAGAAATCAGGTACATCGTTCTGCTTCATGACTTTCATGTCAGATATCATTTTACCAGATAGAATGGTGTGCATATTCTCACGAGTATATTACCGAAACACACCTACCAGCAAACGTTATTGCATATAATTTACAAATTTTACCCTAGTCATGCAAACTGCTACAGCTCTGGGAGTCTCTGTGAAAATCGAAATCTTTATATCTTCGAGATTATTAAGTTTAACATTTCAATGTTTGGGTACCTTGTATAAATTTTATTTATCTGTATAAACATATACAGAAATACGTATCCTAGTATATCAGATGTAGATGCACTTTCTTGCCGTAGGAGAGTAGGGAAGTTGATTTTTCACGTTTTTAAGAAAATCATCATTGCACTTAATGTAAAATCGGGGGTTTGATTTGAGATGCATTGATATCACAAAGATTCATAGATTTTACCAACCTTTGAGCATTTAGTCTTAAAGACTGCCTGAAAAAATGTACAGTGATAGTTAATTTCCACAGGTTTTTGCTTACAAACTGATTTCAAAATTGTAGTATTTCAAGAATAAATCCAAATAAAATAGATATCTTTTGTATTGGATATATTGAATGGAAAAATATATTAAAACCAGAATTCTAATTATGAATCACCACAAGCAAAATATGCCTTTTTTACTGTATTCGTTTAGTGAAAACTATTTAAAAAATTGTAAAAGATTACAAAAAAGGCTACCTAATGAATAAGATTTGTTAGATGATTTGTCTAATCATAAATCATAAAAAAAAAATAGATAAAAGTTTATATAACACCATAAAACTGCTGAGCTCAAATTATAAGACAAAATGTTTTAAATTTGCATTGTTTATTGAAACTAAAACTACTGTACTGTATAACATATTACATCATAATATAGCTAAATTGTTTAGTATAATTTCCCTTTGAAGTAACTGAAGATCTTATTTGATGTCACAATGATTTAGTAATAATGGACTTGTTCTGTGCATACTTTGCATATACAATTTGTAAAGCTTCAGTAAATTATAAATTTTATAAGGTTGTGCTATAAGACTTTCACTGATCACCAGAATTAAATCACAAGGCGCGATTTTGAACCTAAACTTAATCCTTAAGCTAGTTTTGTTGGAGTTTTTGGGTACCTTGGTGTACTAGTGAGCCAGCCAAAATGAGCTGACTCATTTTATAGTTCACCAATAGAAGAGTTAACTAATCAGAAGGCTCAAAATATTCAATGCGGCGTTTATAAAGACGGCCATGTTATTTTTCCGAATACTCACTGCCAGCCTTTGTTCGTGAGTGTTAATCTTTAACGTTGTTTCATTGAACAGATTACGTATTGCACTGTATTCTACATTCATAGACTATGGTGAACATGGTCAACAAATTTACTCAAAAAAAGGTAAGGATTGGAAAAAACAATATTTTGTGTCTTAATTTATCATGTCAAACCCCAACTTTCAACTTGAGTGCCAATACCACGGTTCCAAAATCGACCTACCCTCGTGGGCCACTGGTTTACAAGTGAGGCTCGTAGACGCCTCAAACGTTATACGACTTTTTTGTTCGTTTTAATGTCAGGCTCCTGGTTTTAATGGTATGATTTTGATCGTGCTTCTACACAGATTTAAAACCCTCCACAACGTCCTATCTGTTGTAACTCTGAGCAAGATTTGATTTTTTGCTGATTCTATCCATTCTCAATCTGCCACCCCTTCTTCAACAACTGTTTACCTCTCTTCCCGATTACTCCAGTGGGCGATAAATTTTTCCGGCCTTCTTTCCTGATTTAAGGAATTTCAATCGTCGCTTTTCGGTTTCTGCACAGATTCTTCTTCAACGTGCCATATCCCTTCAGGTCATGGACAATCATGGCTCTCCACAACCTCTTATTCGTTGTACCCTTTGTTCATTAGCCAAATCTCCCGCCGCCCGTTTGGCCATCTATTCTTTTGAGACGTACAGTGGCGGTTAACAATTAAGTATAACTCAAGACTTCAATGTTAAATAAAACAGTATTTAATTACAACGGCAAATAAA